TCTGTGTAACCATTCCGATGAACAAAAATTTTAAGCACTCAGGCTCCTATATAGATCAATAATATAGATGTAACCCATTGTCAAATTTCTCATGATTCTTTTAGTTCAAAACTAATTGTTTCTTGACACTATCATGGCCGATCATGCGGTCATTATATATGTGCTTTACGTACAGCAAAAACATAAATTCTTAAATATTGTAATCAAAAAGGTCAAGTACGTATTTATAATCAATTTTATAGAAATTTATTCGTATTGAAACAAGTCCAATATCATCTCTAAAATGAATAAACTATCCAAATCAAGTCATTGTATTTGATAATTTTCATCCCCATGTAAAAATTTTTGCTAATTTAACGAAACTTTGTGATGTGAAAATTCGTTAAAAATTTAACCATTTAACGATTAATAATGTTACAATTTTGATCATGAAAACGCATTAAAAGTGCCCAAAATTAACGCGTTTTCAGATTCTAACGATCTTTTTTCGTTAGATCAGTAAATTTTTAATGATTCTTCACACGTGAAAACGCGTTAAATACGAAAGTTGATTAATATGTTATCCCTCAGAATTTTTCATACATTCTTATTTACGGCAAGTATGATGAACTTCCTTCAATAATCAATATCTCGCTTAGTTTCACTCGTCTGAAGAGAAAAGTTCAGCTAATCACCCATGTCGTACAGAACGGCTCGTAAACTGCCTTAAACGACTTGAAAACGGTGAACAACGGCTGTCGTTACGATGATCGTTTACGGTTTGTCGTAAAACGGAGAAATGCGGCGATAAACGATGATCTTTACGGTGATCGTTTACGTACTAGCGGAAACGATAGTCGTTATGACCGTCGTTTTTTTGCCGTTTTCACACCGTTTTTCATCGTTTCAAAAAGTGCCCTAAAATCATCATTAGACACTTTCTAATGATCTATAATTGATTGGTCATTACGTATTTTAAAAGAAATTATATTTTTTTTTATTCAGATTCTTTTCACCATCTAGTTCAACTGTAAGTATTGTATTTGAATAAATATTTTTATTTTTTATTTTTATTTAGAGTTATCTCAATGAAATATTTAGTAGTATTGAATTGAAATAAATAAATATATTTTTTTTATCTAGATTTATCTTAATGAGATACAAAACAGTAAGTATATTATTTAAATAAATACATGTATTTTTTTAAATTAGGTATATTTCATCGATATGTTCAATAGTAAGTATTTTGCTTAAATATATTTATTTTTGTTTAGATTTATCCCAATTAACTATTTAACAGTAAGTATTTTATTTAAATAAATAAATTTATTACTTTTTTATTTAGATTTATCTCATTACTATATTCAATAGTAAGTATTTTGTCTAAATAAGTATATTTTTTTTCATTTAGATTTCTCTCATTGAAGTATTCAACAGTAAGTATTGTACTTAAATAAATATGTTTATTTTTTTCATTTAGACTTATCTCAATGAAATATATAGTAGTAAGTATTTTAGTTAAATAAATAAATAATGTTTGTTGTGTTTACGGAAGGTGAGAAGGGGACGAAATATTGTGCTCCTCTTCACTGAGGACAGACGGCAAAAGATATATAAAGTCGTAAACGAGAAAAACCCGGTGTAAATCAGACACTATAGGACGAGAATACTGCCATAATACTACTCATCGTTGCTCGCCGAAAACGGCCTTAAACGGCGTCGTTTACGTCCCGGGGGAAAACGGTCCTCAATGCGAGCTGACGGAAAATGGTCAAAAAACGATGAAAAACGGTGATCGTTTTTCATCGTTTAGGGCATTAATTACGTCGTGTTTTCACCGTTTTAGGCATTTTAAGACGTCGTTTCAGACGGCCTGAATGATGGACCTGAGCAATTCAATATTGGATGTACTTTCTCATAAGATGCTTCAGAAAGCATTGTTATCATTATAAATATTTTGTAATAGGTAGCAAAACCAACGAGGAAGTACAATATATTTTTTCATTTTGTCAACATCTCGAAATTGAAACTATTTATGGCTTTACTTGCTACAATTTTGCATTCTTGTATGTATCAGAAATATATTTCATAGTCAACAGAAATGATAAGACTATTACTAGTTTAAAATCTGAGATTTCGACAAAAAAACAATATTGTACTCTTTGATTTGTTTCGCTATCAATTATGAAATATTTCTAATGATAATAATGTTATCTTAAACATCTTATTAGAAAGTACATCCAATATTGAATTGATTAGCTGGATTTTTCATCTCAGACGAGTAAAACTTGGCAAGATATTGATCATTGAAGAAATTTCATCATATTGGCAATGAATAACAATGTATGAAAAATTCTGAGGAGTAATATATCCTCCTGGACAAAAATAGTTTTACACAGTATTTCCCACAAATCATTACTATAAATTAACATTTTGGGAAAAGTAAGGATGTATTCGGATAGCCCGAAGAATTCTCTACAAATCTATATATGAACATTTCGGATTGCACTTATCAGTAAAAAATAAATTCACGTACAATAAAGGCACCCTCATGTTCAGATTTCCCGGAAATGCATTTTATGTTCCTTTAAATATACAACAAGTTATTACAAAAGTAAGTATATATTCTGAAAGCGCGTGAAATTCTGTATCACCCTATACTGTACCCGTCTTGACTTGCAATTGTCTAATGACAAATATTTGGAGTATTATTAATGTACCCTCACCCTCGATACTCCGCATGAACGATTATCTGCTAACCAAGTAAGAGGTATGGATAATTAACAACCTATCAAATTGGATCTTAATGCTGTTGAGAGTGTCTGGTCTTGAATAAACCACTTTGCACAGAGATGACGACTGAATTCCTGACAACATCTAACCTAGGTACGTGATGCGTGAGTACATTAACAATAGTTGAAATATTTGTCATCAAATATTTGCAAGTTAAGATTGGTAAAAGTACAGGGTGATACAGAATTTCACGCGCTTTCAGAATATATACTTACTTTTGTAACAACTTGTTCCTATATTCAAAATATATTTGAAAAAATGAACGAACAAGGAACAAAAAATGCATTTCCAGGGAATCTGGAGATGAGGGTGCCTTCACTGTGCTTGAACTCATTTTTAGCGAATAAATGCAATTCAAAATGTTTATATATAGAATTGTAGAGAACTCCACGGGCTATCCGAATATATCCTTACTTTTCCCAAAATGTTAATTTATAGTAATGATTTGTGGGAAATACTGTGTAAAACTATTTTTGTCCAGGGGGATATTTATTAGCGTGAACTATGAAAAGACAGATTATACGAACTAATATAATTTAATTATCCCCTTCCTCGTAACTTAATATATTAGCTTACATATTTAACAAAGATGAACGAGTCATATTTTTCATATTAGATTTAGATTCTATAAGTGAAAAACTTAATTCAGCTGAACTCAATAGCATAAAAGAGGATTTCATATCAATACAAACTTATATAGGTGGCATGTAACTTGAGTGAGAAAGTTGAAATATCACATGTGTGAAAACAAATGCAGTATTTAACAATATATAATGAGTTAGTTACCATTACAATGACAATCACGCGTGAAAAAACGTCAAAAATTGAATGCATTAAAACGAATTTTCCAAATCTAACCAAAATTCATGAAAATTCTCTTCGTGAAACTTTATTAATTTACGTTTTAAGACAACTTTTGGCCCTAACTGAAACAATTATTTTGCTAAGCTTTTTTTTTTATCATGTGGAGCAGAAATGATGATGTACGAAGTACAGAATTACATTCCTTTAGATATAAAACCCATAGTAAATTTTAAAGAAAAAATCAAAGAAGATTATTTTTGTCTAGGATTAATTCAAGTGGTTTTGCTAGCAATTAATACAAAGTTGAGATTTCTCTAAAGGAGAGTTTTGCTTAATCTGATAAAAAGCTTTTGATATCTGTATTGATATAGTACATAAACACACTTGATATTTCGTAAATATAAGTCTTTCAAGATGATTTTTGTGTAATGTGCATAAATAAATATGTTACACAAAACATCATGAATATTGTATGGGTGAAAACAATTAGTAGATTGAATGATGAGTAATTAAATGACGTTTGTTAACAATTAAAATTTTTTGATTAAAACTCGTTAAAATATTTCGCTCATGAGATTAGTTACTAGATTTAACGAGAATCAATCAGTTAAGTTTCGTGAAAAATACAGAAATTCATAAAAACGTGTTGACCTGTTTAACGTATGAAAATGAATAGCAAGTTTAACAATAATTAACATGGTAAGATTAGTTAAAAATTTAAAAAACTCAAGAAATATCGTTAAACTTCTTAATGCGTGAAAATGAATGCAACATTTAACGATATATAATGAATTAGTTACAGTTAAAACAACAATCATGCGTGAAACAGCGTAAAAAATCTAATGCGTTTACACGAGTTTTCGGAATATAATGAAAGTTTATGAAATTTTCTTCGTGAAATTTCGTTAATTTGTCTTTTAACACATTTTTTGCGTTAATTTTAAAAATCATTTCGTTAAATATCTTTTTATTTTTACATGGGTCTTGTTTGTTCGAAACCACTTGTTTGCATTGAATTTAAACAAGACTATCAATTACATATATATGATAGAAAATTAGATCAAGTTGAAGATTTTTCTATAAATCTTTGTAAACTTCATGAAATAGTATTTATACTAGCAACACAAACATTTATATTAAATAGCATCAGTAAAACGTGTCGATTACTTATGAAATTAAATCATCAAATACCATATCCAAAAAATGATTATTATATTCATAAAATCATTCACCTTTTTGAATAATAAATTATTATATTATGCCAATATGTGGTAGGAGTGATGTATGATAAATCTTTATTTTATTTTTATTTCTCTGTCCTTGGTTATATAGTTTATATGTTCCGTTATTAAAAACTACAAGAAAAAACTACTGTATTTAAATAGAAAAAGAATGAATTTCAGTCAAATAGTGTTTTAAATATATTAGTGGTATTGGTCAATCCTAGTTCGAACAATTCCTGGATAATCTCCATCGATTCTATCATATGATCGATCATAATAAGTAGGATATTCACGTCCAATTGTATATGATGAAGATGACCATGCTGGAGGCGTCTACAATAAAAGATTTATATAGTTTTTTTTTCTCAAGGCATTTTATTTTTGAAAAACAAGTTTACTATATCTTCAACAACACCAGCATTGCGAGCGTGTTGAACAAGTGTTATGGAATCTAAAAGTGATGACCCATAACGAGATCTATAAGATTCAGGATCTTCTTGTGTAACACCAAGATTGTTAAATTTTCGAACTACACGTGTTTCAACAGCAGAATAAATAATAGTAGTATTAGATGGTGGTTGATATTCTCTAGCAGGAGGAGCAGGTTCAACAATTGTACGTCGTTCAGCTTGAGGCCCATAGGGAATCCATCGTTCAATTATAATATCACCTCAATAGCAAAAAAACAACAATCTGGAATAAAAAGAAAACAAAAAAGAAAAATGGAGATAGTTATTTTACGTGGTTTTTCTGGAGCAGGTGGAAACCGTTCGATGACAACTGATCGTGGTGGAACCGGTAAAGCAGGTAAAGTACGAATAACTGTAAAATAAAATACATTGATAAATCTAAACTATGTAATAATAAATGTCTTTTGTTTTTTTCTAACTTGTTTCACCAGGAATATGTTTTGGTGGTGTTGGTGGTCGTTCACGTAAGATAAGTGGAGATGGTGAAGGAAGAGGTGGCGGATGTTCGCGTATGACAAGTGGTGGAGGTGGTGATGGTTGTGGTGGACGCACTTCTTTAATAATAAGTGGCTAAAATCATCAAAAGAGTAGTAAGATTGAATTTGTAAAAAATATGTTTCATTACTCCTGGTGGTGGTACAGCTGGTGGTTGAAGATATCGAACAAGAACTCGTTGTTCAAGTGTTACTGGACTTGTACTTCTTGCTCGTCGAATAATTCTTGGATTAGGATCATGATAAATATTCGTACCTGATTTTTCCAGATAACGATTGGTTTCTTCTGCACTATTTGTATTGATCACTGTATCATCAGCCCATCTCCTATTTCCACACCAACTATATGTATCACCCGTATATCCCACATCATCATAATATCTATCTGCATATTGATATCGACCAAATCGACTTGCCTCATCATAACGATGCAGTTCACGAGTTATTGATTCATTTGATGCAGTCAATCCTTCAGTACTTGAAATCCAATTACGAAATTCATTTGGATCAATACTAAATATGTATATGTATATTTATTATTTGATTTAAATTCTTAATTCTTACCGTCCATCACGATTTGTATCAATTTGTCTAAATGCAGCGTCAGCTGCATCATCAGTTGCCATTGTTCGAAATCGATAAAGTAGAAATAGATTCTTAAAATAAAAGAAAACTAATAATCATTAATTTATATATCTATTATAGACATATCAAACATTTGTTTTATAACATCGAGAGTATTCTTGTTCATACTCTTTTTAATTTTTTTTTTGCTAAAAAAGATTAGAAGTTTTAAAAAAAGCAAACAAGAAAGTGTACAAATGATTGTCGCATTGTTCTTATAAATAGTTCATGAAGATTGAAATGTAATCATGAGAATATTGTAAGAAAACAACAAAGAAACAGAAGAAGAAGAAGAAGAAGAACAGCTCTTCATTAAAACTGCTGAAGGAAAATTAGTCCATTAAAAATTTGGAAAAAAGGATATGAAATTAGCAAAGTCATTGTTTTAACATTATTTTTATGTAATTTAACGTAGTGTGACTTTTTCTTATCTCATACATACAACTAACCTATGCAGTTTATATTCCTTTTTTAAAGGTGAAGAATTGTCTGTTTGAAAACAGCTTGGCAGCGTAGCCTGTTTTGGAGCTGAAATATGGAACTCTCATATGCTTTTCAGCTTCATTATACTAATACGAAATAGAGAAAGTATAAAATTAACATTTTTTCATTGTTTCTTTCTAACGGACGTCCTTATTTTTCATTTTCATTGTTGCTATGCACTCATTATTTGTCTTTTTTCTTTCTTTAGTGTTTTACATTATTATAAAAATCGAATGAAATTGTAAATAAGTAGTGGCGAAGCCAGAATGTTGGTCTGGAGAGAGTTGGCGGAGGAGGCTCAGTCCCTTCTTAGAAGTGTTCGAGTCCCCTTGGCGAATAAAATACATGCTACAAAAGTTTTTCTTGGAAGGGTCGGTGTCGGTTTAAGCTACCGACACTTGCACTACCCCGCTCTCTAGCAGGACAGCTACTGCGATGAAAAGGAAGAAAATGTTTAACAGCTGGGGAATAGGGAGGTATCGAAACTGAGTGTCAAACGTGATTCTCGACCTTGGTGGTCTCGGTCTATGTCAGTCTCGGTGGAAAAACTGGAAAAATAATAATTTCGACCGAGAATAACTACCAGGCTTATCTATGATAAATAATAAGATTGAAATTAAGTATAATCGAGACCGAAACTCATTGATGTTAAGACCAAGATTAATGGAGACCAAGAGACTTATTCTCGGCACATTCCTACTAACGAAATCGTTCGTATTCTAACATAATAGTGAAAAAACCTTGGACGAAATGATTTCAAGCGCAGCTTACCACGACAGTTGGTGGTTAGAATGTCTGTGGTTTCTTCGTTCTTCACACAAGTAAAAATAAGCCGCTCACACAACAACAACAACAACTGGTAGGAAGAAAAAGAAAAATAAAATCAAGAGAAGGAGAAACCATAGTAATTCTTCATTGGCAATACTAACAGACCCTTCAGAAAAATGAATCGAAAAATAGATTGGTATGTTTGGTATTGCCGTGTAATTATATATTTGCTTCGATCTCTACTAGTGAATAAACAAAGCGCCCGCAGAATAAACGATAATGAAAATCTTAGAAAAACAAGAATATAAGAGAAATGGAAATCATAAGAATCCTTCAAGAGTAACATTGGAAGAGTCGTCAGACAAGCAAATGTAAAAGCATATTCTCGTATTTATTAGCTCCCTGTTTTTTTGTGTATATTTCCTTTAATACCTATTAGAAAATAAACAAGGCGCTCGTAGAACAACTAGATGTATAAAAGCCAAGGAAGCAGAGAGGATAAGAGAGAAAAAGAAATCATAAGAAGTTTCTGATATGAGTGCTGACAGATCCACCAGAAATTAGATAGTGTTCGAGGTTGACTTGAGTACGAAATATGTTGTGAAACACAAGTTATAAATGTCGGAAAGGCATGATTTCTGCTAACAAACGAATAAATGTTCTAAGACTCTATCATATGTCGATTTTGTTTTAGCCATGTTAAATGTTAGTGGAACAAAAAACAAACTTTTGGGTTTGTAAATCGAGAAAAGTTATGTTTACATCAATCAATTGATCATAGTTAGGATCAGCATGAAATGTAGCGATCATAAAACTTTGTACTACGAGAAATTAATGAACCTGTATAAACATACTGATGAAAAATGATCACAACTGATCTTCTAATTTTCGATATGATTCATCATTTATAATCAACTGTATTTACAGCTCTTTCTCATTTTACCTATCTAAAGGCAAAGAAAGAATTAAGTCTTGAAAAAATTCTCATTTTTGCAAGTTATTCAGAAGGAAACTAAACATCATCTCGATAATGTCAAAATAAAATGTCTGAGTTCGATCTTAATACTTAGGCCTCCTCTCTGACGGACTATTCTGTAGTTTTTGCTTCTGAGACAATCGCATAAAACTATGGTTGGTTATAATACCTACGTAACATAAATAAGAAAGAATAAACTAAAGTAACCTCACAAAGAACGGCAGGAATGCCGTGCTTTGCGGCGCATGAAAATAAATTTGAATGCTAGTAGTACTGTTTGGCTGCATCTCTTATTTACATTGCTTCTCCCTCTTCGGGAGAATAAATAAAACTCTACCACAACGACCACTAGTGAGAAACAGAGAGAAAAAAATGTAAGAGAAGGAGACACGGTAAAAATACTGAAAAAGCAACACTGACAAGCCTGGCTGGAAGGAATGAAAAGTAGATTGATGTGTTTTGATGTTTGTCTTGTTTATATGACTTAGTCAGTCTTTGCCATAGGATCGAAAGGTACTCACAGAATAATTGATGGGAAAAAACGCAGAACAACAAAAATGTAAGAGAGGGAGAAACCTTGAGAAGTCTGCGGGTGTAGTTGTGATTGTGGGCGCGTTGAGATGTAAAATTGCGGCTGCATCTAACGATCTTCATTATAAAAAGAATCCAAAATCAGCTACACAAATACACAAACCTCCACGAATCTCTACCCACGGCATACCAGTCCAAATCGATACACTACAACCATATCCTCATCGTCGTGTTTCACATTTTACACCTACTAGGATTGCACTAAGAGCTTTTCGAGAAAGATGATATTGCGGTGTAGATGCAGAAGTCAGTGTGGCTGCGAGTCTCTGACATAACGTCCCAAATCGACACTCATACTTACAAATGCAATCATACTCATACCCACAGCCACTTCTATTAGTTTCATTTCGATTGTTAATT